AACAGTAAGTATGCCTATGTTCCAGAATCTATCAAAGGGTGGAGATATGATAAGTGCACCCTCTAAAGCCTGCTTGGTTCTCTCATGTTTATTCCTCGCGACCACCACTTAGTTTGCGCATGATTATTGAACCTGGAATTTTAGATACCATAGTGGTCAAGCTAATCCCCTTGTGATTATCACAGGAAAACTTGTTTCCCTTCTTGTATATTGGGATAATCAATGACTTTCACCAACCCGACGGGATTTCCTCTGATTCCCAGACGTTGATTAGTACCCTAGTTAGCGCAGACAGTAGACTGTCTTCACCGTCCTTAAACACCTCTGGAGTCATTCCATCAAGTCCTGCTGCTTTGCCTTGTTTCAGACTAGTAACAGCTTTAGTAATCTCAGTTAGGGACGGAGGACCTGTGTTTAAATCCCATTCAGGGAGGTGTTGGATGTTCGGTAAGTTGAGCATGGTGCCCCTATTTCACTCATCACTTGTTCTTTGCCACCTGTTCCCCTGATTAGCCTAAATAGTTGTCTGGTGTTACATATCATCAATGTCTTTTCCATCTCTTTCGCTTTTGTCGCCCACCACTGGTCACGGTCGTTGCGAAGACTTCTAGTTAGTTTGCTTTTGAGCAGCTTTCGCTCCTCATCATCATCGGAGCTCACAGGAACCAGTTTTCTTGAGTTTATCAGTTCAGATGAAGTGGTAGAAATCCACTGGCTCTTACTACCTTTTGGTTTTAGGTTATTAACAGCCTTTACATCTGTGTCTGCACGTAACTTTATACTGTGCCAGGTTTCTTCAGGATAGGTCGTGCTATCGATCTGCACATACCATGTAATGGCTGTGAGGTTAGTTACATAGGTCGGACTGGTAGATCGCAGTCAACTAGATTATTAGAGCATGACAATTTTGCTAGACCTAGAATAGTTGACCCTGCTAAGTTAAATAACCTGGAAAAAAGCCGAGCCACTGCATTACTTTGTATTCACCTGCAAGTAATCACAAAGTTCAGTGGGACAGAGCGAGGGTATTAAGAAGTGATGTAGTCAGATGGAGAGGTTAATCACTGAAGGGTTGTTTATCGATTCCACACTGCACACGCAACTCCTATACTGGAGATATGGAAAACGGCAAATAAAAACAAGGGAAAGATGGAGAGTGAGAAAGAGAGAAGATGTATATCAGACAAAATGCGAAGCCACGTGAATAAATTGGTATGATCATGAGCAATAATTTATGCTTGAAACTTTTCATCCATTTGTTAATACTGCATTATCACTATGTGATATTCAAAATAAGCTTATCTAATATGCAATTACATTCTACCACAGTGCCCAAGTTCTACGATTACATTAACATACTTTTATATATCGACAGGAATTAGTCATGTGTTAGTGGATAACTTGAGACCGTCATAGTAAAATAAAGCTTAAGGATGATAAGCTGTCTTTCTCTCTCTCTCTCTCTCTCTCTATATATATATATATATATATATATATATATATATGATATAATGCCTTAAGACAACTTATCATCCATATGCTTTATATTATGATAATAAGAACCACCATTATTATTCCCCTTGGTTCTTACTGGAACATAGGGCCTCAACAACCCATCTACTTTTCGACCTGTTCTCTGCAGTCCTCTTCATCCGGCCACACGGTTGTCTGTAAGCTTTCGTATCCTCCTCACACGAATTCCTACATATCACCTTCGGACCCAAGACTAACTCATAGTTTCGCATTTCGGTTTCACTTGAGCGAAGGCCTGGCTTACGATGTCATTCGACGATCTCTTCAGCGTGTTTCCGATCTATCTCTGTTTCCTTCAAGATATTTATTGAGCAGTAGGTTCTTGATCGGTTCTTTTTCAGAGTTGGTTACTGCTAATTCTTTCTTACTGCCCATCTGATCTTGAGTATGTAGTCAGAGAAGTGAGCAGCTATTGATATCCGTTTGCGGCCCATTAGAATTTCTACGATATTGTAGCAATATTCTTTACTGCATGACTGATTCCTATTCATGAACAAAAATGGATAGATGATTGTATCATAACTCATTGTATTTTTGACTGTTAGAAGTTGTAGGCACCAGAGGAGAAACCATGAAATAAAATGAATCCATATTATTCGTTGCTCCAATATTTGTCCTTTCATAAAACCAAACACATACTACTGATCGGTTGAGGTTATTAGTTGCATACCACTCAAATTGGGCAGTAGTTTCTTGATTATTATTTGTGGTATCAAGTTGATCACACCTTGTGATTTGAATAATCTTGGTGTCCAAAGGAAACTGTGGTGAAATAATTCCCAGGAATCGCACATCTTGATTGGTTCGTTCTTATCTCAAACAGTTTTATTTTATCCATAACATTTACACTACTCACAAGTAGTAAAATATGTACACCAGAAATTGTGTTTTACTTTTCTAAATTGTGTGTGCCTTTGTCGTCAGTACCCAGTATTCATTGGATAGTTGTGCCTGTGACATTTTCTTAGCCACTGTAATTTCCGTATTCAACTCTAAAATAAACGGCTGATTAGTGAAGTAGATAAGTTTAGAAAAATGACTGACTGATTCGGACATGCTGAGTTTGAGTTTCTGTTAAGTGAATGTGTGAATTATAAAAGCTTCTTATCATTATTCATATTCATTCTTATCATTCATTAATGCCTGGATGGGGATTATCCATGAATTATCATTATTGATTGATATGGATTGTGTATAGTGAGTATTTGTTAGTCAAAGCTTTGTGATGATTGACCTTTGGTGTCATTTGAAAAACGAGATCAATAATTCTACTCTAAAAATAATTACTGACTATAATTACATGCATAAAGGCAAACACTAAATAGAGTAGTCAATTTCAAAACAACAAGTGTTCACTTGAAGGGATATTATCGATTGCAGGTTTGATCGAGAATCTATTAGAGGTCCAGTGAAAGTCACTAGAGAGTATTGGACGTACGTTCCACTGAAGTTGGATTGAATGACAGATTTTATTGTTTATTGCTACTGTTCCCTTGAGTTCAGATTGGAACACAAGACTTCAACAGCCAGTTTCAACTTTCTTCTATTTTCTACCGTCCTCTTTAGCTAGCACCACAATTGCCCATAGTTTCTCATGTCCTTCCCGTACTATGTCTTCCATCTTACCCTAGGCTGTTCCATTCGTTATTTCAAATCCATATTTCAATCGAGATATGGCTTGGGACGTGATGTAATTCTACTACCTCCCTCAACATGTGCCGAATCTATCTCCATTTCCTTAGGAATATTTATTGAGTAATATATTCTTGGTTGATTTCCCCTTGAGTTTATTGTTGCTAATTTCCCCTCACTGGCCATTAGACCTACATTTTGGTGCCAGGGGAGTGTACAGCTGTTGATGTAAGTCTGCAGTGACCTATTGGAGATCCTATTCGTGACACGCCAGCCCAGCTTCTTACCCGTATAGAAGAACTGACTGAATGACTGACTTGCTTGACATTAGTGTTGAATAGAATCCGAATCTTGTTGTTTATGCTGACTGCTGAGTAGAGAAGATTTTACAACTGGTTTCAGGTTGGTTGATGAAGGTGTCTCTTGCCTTTCCAATTCTGGCTGTCTAGCTTTGACATCTTCATCGGCTCCGCTAGCCTGTGGTTGAAGCCGTGTTTCCTAGACAAGTGAGGGCAGAGAGTAATCTCTGTCAGATCTCACCCTCTGATGGTGATTGGTGCTGTTTGCTGTTGTTGCTGCTGTTCGTTGGTTATCTTCATCACCTCTGTCTTCTTTATGTTCACCTTGAGTCTTGTCTTCGCTGCCTGCTTCTGCAGACATTTTGGTGATTTTCACCTGTAAGTCTTTGAGTTTATATGATATAAGACATTAATCACCCACGAAATCCAGTTCTTCTGGAGTCTTTTTACTGGTGACCCTACGTATTCTTGTCTTTCTACTCCCAACGTGCAATCTGACACATAAGCCAGGCCACAATTAGTGATATTACCGGTGACAATGGGTAGTCTTGTCTTACTCCTGGCAGATAAAGATTGGCTGGTAGTGGTGATATATATATATATCACGAATAGCAAGAACACTGGAATGGGTCCCAGCGTCTGAACCATTTGCGAGCTTGCCTTATAACCAGAAGGTCTTGAGTTCGAACCCAAGTTGAGTGCGTAAAGTGAGAATTCTTAAACTAGGACGAAACAAATATCCATTATTCCCAGGTTATTCGATGATCCTGTAACTATTGTTAACTTATGATGAAACCTGTAACCAATAAAATCCCTAAAATCCAACACTTGATGATATATATATATATATATATATATTATTTTTTACGAGTTGATCACGGACCGATATCAGTTAGAGAACCATTGAAAACCAGCAACAGCGAGTACTGGAGAGCCAGCTGTTTCATCATCCTAGTTTGGGAATCATTGGCAGTACGCACCCACTGCCAGGGTTCTAACCCAGGACCTTCCGGTTACAAGGCAAGGTAGCTCGTACACCATTCAGCCACTGGGACCCGATTCAATGTTTCATGAATTCTAACTTCTACAATTCATGATTTAGCGCGATCCCAACTATTGTCGTTGGTGGGACATCCATCCACACACGTGACATCTAATTGGACCTCACTGGTCACAACTTCTCACGAGAACTTCGAGAAACTCCATCCTGTAGCAAGTCACTAGAAAGCATCAGATTAATTTTCTATAGTTTGGTTTGTAAGAGTTAGTTGTGTTTCTACGAGTAGATCACGGATTGATGTACGAGCTGGTATATGAGCTTGCCTTGTAACCGGAAGGTTCTGGGTTCGAATCCCGGTGGGTGCGGTGATTCCAAAACTAGGATGAAACAGCTGGATGTCTAGTACTCGCTGTTGCTGGTTTTTAATGGTTCTCGAACTGACACCAATCGTGATCAACTCGTAAAAACATAACTAACCCTTACAAACCAAACTATAGAAAAATATATATTCATATACGTATAAAATTGTAGCTTACTATAGAAGATACAACAGCAGATTTGTTGATATTATCATCTTTGTAAAACAAGCGAATTATGCGAGTTTGCATGAGACGACGTAGAAACTTCGGTGCACGTGTTAACTTTTCACCTCTTGAATCCAAATTTATAACAATCACACAGGCAACAACTGATCCAACTGTTAATGTCATTACTGAAGTCATATACACACCTTGAGAATGAAAAAAATATATACAAAAAGGAAAAGAAATATACTCCCGTGTGGTAATTCAATAAGAGAATTGTTAACACGGCATAGGCTACTGACAAGAATTTGTGAGTAGTTTATTGTGTGAGAGTTTGAAACAATCCTGAATATTAGACATGTGGTTTAAGTTGAAAACAGGATAAATGGGGAAAGCTAGGCGAGGTCATGTGAACATTGTCTACCATAGTTCACCAAGCGCTGATGGCGAGTCATCGTGTAAGGTCGCCTGGAAGCTGGCTTCAAATTTTGATAGTCCGGTGAATAAAAGGTATCGAATAAGTTTAGGAGCCTAAAGCTCATTCTGGACCAGCTGACCAGCTGGCTCAAGGAGTTTCTGTGATAAGTCTCCTACTTTATATGAGGATACCCAAGAGCACCTTATAGCCTCTCACTTAATAAAATGCGAACCTAATGGCTGCTCTCGTGATGCAGGAATATCAAGAACCTGACTGGATAGAACAACAAACATCAGAATTTTTCACACCACATACTACTTACTGATTCGTGTTAGCTGAATATTCCATAGTAAGAGGCATTATGGAAAGTAGGAGTATTCTGATGAACTTTGAAAAACACTTTAGACAGTAACAAGACTCTGGACTGCCCATTTATTGAATGACCTACCGCATCTAATAGCTTCTACTATGACAGAGAGGAGGCGAGAACAGTAATTCAACAATCGAAAAAGAGAACGGTCTATTCTCGGTTTCAGATTCTTAATTGGTGTACATGGATGATAAAAAAGGAGAAAATGGTAAGTCCTTGAATTGTACTTCAATACAATCCATATAAAGTAGATACTTGAACAAGAATCTGACCAAAGCTTTTACAGTGGTTCAACTTTAGGACGCTCACCAATTACCCACGTTGTCCAGGATTCGATCCGCCTCCGACATACTCTTAGATTTGGCTAAGTCGGTAGTAGGGCCAGTAAAAGACTGAAGGTTGGACATGAGGCTAGAAACCCCGCCCACTTCAATCGAAAATTCAAAATTCAAACTTGAAGCCCTATGTTCCACTCAGAACGTGAAGGAACAAAAATAACAGTTGATGGTAATTCTCTATCAACAGTATTTGATAAACATGAAGTTTATAGAACTTCATATAATCAAGTTTTAATCTAAGAGATAATAGCTGACACCCTATACACAAGAAGTGAGTCGGTGGCACATTGGTTAGGACTCTCGCCGACCGTGCAAATGGTCCAGGGTTCGACCCCCTGCCGACACACACCTGATATCTGTGGTCGGCCTGAAAAATTTTGGCCACCGATATCACATGCTGAAAATTCCATACCTGTACCAAAAATTCGGTGTGGAGTTAAACTGTAATCAAAATAAAAAACATAAAGTGGTTTCTGCAGCCTGCTGGATAACGCTTTGGTGTTTGCTAATATAGGTGATAGGTTCGAGTCCATGTATCAAAAACACACTATCACTCACTCACTCACTGGGATACAAATAAAACTGGTTGACGAGTCTAGACAGGACGAAACTTACACTGGGATTCCACTGTTAACTACAATCAACCAAATAATACTTTTACTATCAGTCAAGGAATCGACGTCTTTTCAATCAACCAAATATTAGACATCTGTGCTTTATTTTTTAGAATGGCATAAATTCTTATGTTAGTTGGGTTGATTTAAGAAAACAGCTAAGTAATTCTTTGTTGAAAACGTCATGTATCGGCAGTAGTTTCGGTGCACCGCGAATTGGCAGGAATGAGGAGTCGTAACGTGTCAGATTTTAACGCACTGGCTGAATTGTAGTTTGTTCACCCCTTATTTAGCATGACAAAAATCCTAGAAGAGACACCAATTTTGGTTTATAAATGCGCGTCTTTTGGAAAGTCTCTTTTTTTTCCTTCACGTTCTCAGTGGAACATAGGGTTCCAAGCTATAGGCTTGAAGATTCCGTAGCAGTGTTGATTTTTACAGGATGGGGTTGCTAGCTTCATGCCCAACCTTTCCTCCTTACCAGCCTCATTACTGGCTTAGTGAGGTAAAGGTGTGCCCCGGCCGGGGCTCGAACCCCGGACCATGTGCATGGTCGGCGAGCGTCTTAACCTCTGTGCCACCGACGCACATACTACGACAAAAATACCAAGTGTCCAATTTTCCTGGCTTCTCAGTAGGTCTCTCTAGTTAATATAAAGTTATGATGGGGTTCAACTTGTCATAAATCATATTTTCACAAAACCCAGTAAAGTAACATAATGTCTCCAATTAGTAAGTGCTAATTTGTCTCTAACTATCAGCTGTATGGTAGCAGTCCGGATTTTAAGAAATTCACTTTTGTTAACAAGTGGGTTATTAGAATGAAAACAAAATTTACTGTCACACAGTGTCAATAATATCGAGCTATCTTGTATAGACATTAAGATAAGTAAAAGATTTTCCACAAATAAACATCAGTTATAGAGGTATTGAAATTCATTGAGGGCTGGATAGATGTTTAGTCCTTGTTTTCAGATCGACCACAGCTACGGTGACTGATGTCACCGGTGGACACTACCGAGTTCTTCTATACTGGGGTTTCAAACATAGTCCTAATGATGGCTTCTGATGATGAAATCTATATTAACAATAAACGGTATTTTCTATAGTTTGCTTTGTAAGGGTTAGTTTTATTTTAACGAGTTGATACGGATTGATATCAGTAAGAGAACCATTGAAAACCAGGGGTACTCGACAGCTGTTTGGGAATCATCGGCAGTATGCACCCGCTGGCGTTCGAACCCGATGGTTCCCAATTTAGGATGAAATAGCTGCCAAGTACTCCTGGTTTTGAACGGTTCTCTTACTGATATCAATCTGTGATCAACTCGTAAAAAAATAAACGGTGTGCCTACAAATTCAAATTTTCAATAAACCTTCAATTATAAGTATAAAACTTGGGCACTGTGGTACGGTATAACTTCATTATGGATAAGATTTTATTTTGATAAATCTTATCCATAATGGAGTTAAACCTTCAGTTAGCTTTTGGGAGAAAATCAGTAGGAAGCCTTGGACCTAGATATCGTCCTTTCTGGCACTCCTCAGCGACAAAGTGTGATGTGTGATGCTTGACAACACCAGATGTCTGGGACAGGTGTTGAATCATTCTTATTATACGTATTTGCAGTTGATTCGATAAACAGAGTTTCTGTTATCAATCGCTCCCTCCACCCTGTGACATTAGATTTTAAAACTGTCATCCTATCCCATCCTATTGTATGGTTGTGTGTAATTGCGTGTACTGAGTGCTATAGCTGAACTATTCTCTAAATTTCTTATCTTATTCAGGTCAACCAATCTAGATTTTGCTAGGCTTTTATTTTTTGCTAGTCTGACTGCCCATGTTTTACTAGTCTGACCTATATATTTGATCTGACAATCATTTCGGCAGGGCACTAGATAAACTAGAACTAGATAAACTAGATTCCTTTGTTTTAAAGGCGCCACAGGATTCGCCATTTAACCGACAACGCTTGTTTCTAATAGAGTTTGTGGTTGGGTTGAATGCCAGCCACTTTTATTCCTGCCTTCTTAAGAATTCTGAGTAAGGTCTCCAAGTTCCTTCCTTCTATGGAATTACTACTGATGATTTAGATTCCTTAATGTTGGTGTTGTCTTGCGCATATTTGACGTGCATGTCGTCATTTATATTACCATTATTATTATTATTATTTTTATCACTATAACTACTATTGTAACAACAAAAGACAAGGGCCAGGCAACAGATCACTTTTTTACGGAAATCAACACGTATTTATATATATCTCATGGACATTATTATAACTTATTCAAGTAGACAAACGCAGTCTTCTGATTGGTTGTTTTCGAGTTCCTCGGAAAGTCGAGCCATCTATCTGCGAATCATGTTTGCCCACGTTCAAGTCTGCTGTGATTGGTTGTTGAATCAGCCTGTTCATATTTTCTCACGGCTAATATTAGTGACCTAGACATTGACGTAGACTAATGTCTACCAATTGGCTAGCAGCCTGCTCTCACCACACTATCATTATTTATTTATTTTTACATTTCCCTACATACTTTCTGACTAATTTATCAGGTAATTATTAAGTTTCAAGGCATCTCTGATATGTCTCTCAACATGTCTTAGATTTCCCTTTGTATTACTTAGTTTTTGTGCCCTATTATGTAAACATTTTACTAATCCTAATTTTACTGACTTAGGATGGGATGACTGGAAGTCCAAATATCTGTCTGAATGTGTGAGTTTCGTGTAAACACTAGTGTTTAACTTCCCATCTTCTCTACTTTTTACGCTACAATCCAACATAGGAAGCTCCCCTTCCTGACTTTCCACTTTATAAGTGAATTGCATTGCCTCCAACTTTCAGCTAATTTTATGTTTGAAAAATCTACCTATATCCTGTGTTCTAAGTACAGTGAATGTGTCATCTACTAACCCAACGACGACAAATAGGGGGAAGAAAGAAAACTATAAAACTCAGGTTTCGAAGTCGTGTGATTATAACTGATGATGAAATGATTATGAACAATGCATTTTGTTCAAAACTGTGTCATCCAGTAAATAATACTGTTGGAGTCACTGTGTGGTATATCTTATAAACAAACTAATACTGATTCCTATCAGTCAAATCTGCGATACCAATAAAAAATTCTTTCCTCATTTAAATTCAAACAATAAAACTATCATGGGAAAATAACCGCCATAAATAACAAACCCTTTCTAAATAAATCACACAACCAAGAATAAAATGAAATGATTACTTACCTATAAGTGGAATACTTTTCGCTGTCGGTGGTACACGTTCAGCTATCAACATCATAAACATAGAAAATGCTAAAAATACTGACAATCAAGGGTAACTTTTTCACCTGAAACAACTGGTGTCCAAAAAGTGACCAGTGTTAACATGGTGAGTAGAATACACGGTACAACAATATTCCATATATAGAAAAAACTTCTTCTTTGTAAATATAATTTCAACACTAAATCAGTTTGTTTAGTATGTTTCAATGTTTCAATTTTGTTTGAAATTTGTTCACTATCGAAGATTGTTGGTGGTGTTGGTGTTGCTGTTGTTGTTGTCGGTTTCCATACAGTCAGTGAATCCGTTGAACGATAAGTGTAAGCTAATGAAGCATGTAAAAGCATCCAATCAGAACTATCCCAATAAGAAGAGGTATCTAAGCATGCTTAGTCAGGTAATCTTCATCGATAATACCATCCCATGATTGTTATTATTATTATTGACTTTATCGCTGTCGAATTCTTCATCAGAATGATTCATTCTATATGATGTTGTTAAATTCTCATGTAACGATTGACTTTCAAATTGATATTCAATCCAATCAGATTGGTAGATCCATGAACCAAATTGTATTTCACAATTTTGATAATCAAATGGAAATAATGTGATATCAACTTTACATGAGGTTTTCAACTGGACTGGTATTGACCAGGTAACTTTACCAGAACTATGCACTAAAACGTAGATACCTTCTAAAAAACCTGAATTTATATGATCAGCGCTGAAAAATAGAAGGAGAAAAAAAAGAAAATTTGAAAAAACTACTTTCATAATGAACGTATTTTAAGGGCATATCTATGTTATTTATAATAAAAATAATAATAACTTTATATTAGATGGTTAGAGGCGATCGGCAGGAAGCTTTTCCAGGACCTAGCTTGCGCGCTAGTTGGCACTTACTAGTCAGCAAGGCGTATCTGAAACCTTCAAGGAACTCATGTCCCTTCTGAGATTCGAACCTCCGTCACCCAGTGCTGCATTCAGAGACCTTACCAGTGAGCTATTCTGGCTCACGATTGACCTCCTATAGTACTGTAGTGGGTATTTTGGTTGGAAACTAGTAACTAGTGTGATGTCCCTAGTCCTTTGTTAGGTGTAGACTGAATTCTATCAGTCAGGTATGCAAAGTATCCGCTACAGCCCTACAGGAGGTCAATTGTGCGCCCGGATAGCTCAGAGTGGTTACGTCTCTGATTACAGGCAGTACTGGGTGACGTGGGTTCCAATCTCAGGATGGACGTGAGTTCCTTCAAGGTTGCTGACTAGTGAGTGCCAACTAGCACGAAACCTAGGTCCTGACAAGGCTTCCCTCCGATTTCCTCCAATCATCTAATGTCATCAAATCAATGTGCACCATGATGGCGAACTACCTAGAATGGTGGCCAAATTGCAAACCTGGCTGATAGAATTCAGTCTGCGTCAAAGAAATGACTAGACACATCCCACTAGTTACTAGTGTCCAATCAAAATAATAGCTTTATTCTGAACGATGTTTATATAATTCATATGAACTGTGATCAAGATTTGATAGAATAGTTCCAGAATAATTGGGTGCTGAGTGGGAAGTAGATATATGTAAAATTTGAATATTTTTCTACAATCTCAGAGAAATTGAAACTTTTTTTGATTATAGCTTGACTCCACATAGCACTTTTGGTACAAGTGTGGAATTTTCAGTATGTGATATTGGTAGACAAAATTTAGCAGACTGACCATTGGTATCAGGTGTGAGTCGACAGGAGATAGAACCCCAGACCATGTGCATGGTCGGCGAGAGTCCTAACCGCTGTGCCACTGACGTACAGTTATTCCAACGTTTCCTACGTTCAGCAATCTGGTCTGAACTTCTGCAGGGAATTTAATTGAAATTACCATAACAGAGGTTTATATGTGAAAAGGACATGGCTTGTTTTTGAAAACTTTGTCTAATAATATGAGTCATTAAAAATATCTGTTCTTTTGATGTAAACTCTTCATTCACCAATATACCTTCGCTTAAAATAATTGACATTTTGTGTGATTACGTTTCCACACATCATTTAATCATCCAGTTCCCTATATCTTATTTAAGGTATTTATTACTTCTATGTACTAGCAATGTTAGGTTTACATCTGAAGACGATTGTTTCCGTCAGTTGATGGTGTTGCTATGGAAGATCCGTTAGGGCCCCTTTTAACAGATATCTACATATCGTGCATTGAGAGTTTATCGGAGGATTTAATCGAAAATGTGCCACTTTATAGAAGGTATGTAGACGACATTGTATTCATAAGTGATAAGCCTTGTTCTCCCACCTCAATTTTAAATCGAATGAATAAAGTTCAGAATAGCATATCACTTACGTCTGTAGAAGAGAAAGATAATTGTTTACCTTTCCTAGACATATTGCTTAGTCGACAGCTCGAGGAGTTAATAAAACGATCTACTCAGACAGGACGGTATCTTAATTATCACAATTTCTACTCTGTTCGGTACAAAAGAGCCTTAGTAAGGTGCCTCTTCAGTAGAATCAAACGAATATGCACTGAAGACACATATGATGAGGAAGAAAGAAAGTTGTCACAAACTCTGGTTGATAACAATCATCCAGACAAGTTCATCAGGAGATATAAAGTAGTCAGAACACCAAGACCACTCTCCGATTCGCCCCTAAGAAAGACATGTACACCAAGCTAACCTATATGAGGCATCATAGCAGCTTGATAACTAGACAAAGACTGAACGCTGGTGTTAAAAAGACTTTCTAGGCAGCTAATATGATAATAATTGAGAATGGGAAGTCAATATATCCATCTAAGCCCTTTGAACATGCGAAAAATATCACATCCCACTGTATTTACCAATTTGAATGTACGTGTGGACACACATACATAGGAAGGACTCATCTATCTATGCAAATAAAGGGTGGCTCCAGAAGCAAATGGAATCTTGAGAAGCCATTAATAGTGAGAACAGGAGACCTGGATACTATATTGCGAAACATACTATAGAGATAGGACATAAAATTGACGTTAACAGATCTTTTAAACCTATCTATAAAACGTGTTTTGAGCGTATCCTAAAGTTTGTGGAAGCCCTAGCAATTAGAAAGTTCATACCACCTTCATGCGTTTAGAAACAATTTGTCATCACTCTAAACCTTCCTTGGGAAACTTTGTTTTGATACCATAGCAGATGTGCTATTACCTCTGTTATTTGGTTTAGTGTTCTTGATTGTTATTTTGACCTTTTAACTTGACCTAAGTCTATTTCCTCAGCTCTTAACTCTTCATTAATCTCATATATATTCCTATGACAAGTCCGTATGTGATCAGATTGTTCGAAATGTGTTGCGCAAATACAACATTACACAATTCAGATGAATTACGTATTCTTACTGCTTTGTCTAAATTCATAAAGGGAACTAATGATTTTAAACAAAATTGTATGAGCTCTGATCAAAATTTGACCTCAGACCTACAAATATTAGTCTACAATTGGTGGGTGGTGGCTAGCAGTGGAATCCAGAATAAAGCGCATTTCGTCCTATTTGGGACTCGTCAGCTGGATGTACCTGCATTTCTCAGTGAGTGATGATGTTCCCAATGAGGCCCGAACCCAGTACCCATAGTTTCAAACGCCAAAGCGTTATCCACTAGACCACTTGGCCACGAGAGCCACCTCTGGATTCCACTGCTAGCCACCATCCACCAATTGCATACTAATTAAATACCCAGACATCGTCGAAGCATCTGCACAAGAAACTGACATGTCAACCTGAGACCGAGCACTTCGGTCCAATCAATCGATGGGAAAATCAAAAATTCAATTCAATAAATATTAGTCTACTTTTGGAGAGGCTAACAAATGTTTTACAACTGTTTACCCATACGCACACCATTGTACACCGCATATACACATATGTATTTTGCATATTCAGTTATCTACGACCATGAACTCCTAGTCGAATGTAATCACTAAACTTCTGATAGGAAATACGCTCTTGAATTCTGCTGAAGAAGCTGTGGCTTACACAATGAAACATTCAGAAAAATCTTGTTTTGATTTTTTCTTAAACATGCTGGGATTATTTTAAATAATTTGTTATGATTCAATCTGATTAGGCGCTGAAATTATTCCAGAAAATTAGTGATATCTACGTTCTGGAAACCTATAACCTTATTAAAAAGTACACTCTGTTGATCTTATCTTTATCTTTGATTACAGCTTGATTCCACAATGTATTTTTGGTAAAAGTATGGAATTTTCAGCATGAATATCGGTAGCCCAAATTTTGCAGGCCGACCAGAGATATCAGGTATGCGTTGGCAGGGGCTCGAACCTCGGACAGTGTGCATGGTCGGCGAGAGTCCTAACCACTGTGCCACCGACGCACAAGTGTTTAACAAAAATAGACTAATATTTGTAAGTCCGAGATCAAATATTGATCGAAGCTCATACAATACAGTTTATCAAATGTAAGGAACGTCAGGATTACTCATTTCCATTTCTCTGAGATTTTACAAATATAATTTTTACAAGTGTTTATAAAAATGTACAAAATTTCCAACTGAATTTATTGTATAATATTTTCCCTTCGTCCAATAACTTCAAATAAAAGACTTAATGACAACAGATTGCGTGATACAGCGTGTTGTTTGACCTAAAGCGCAAACCAGTCCACCATTAGGATATCTATTCTTTGTCTTCTTTGAGAAATGCACAACATTTTGTTGAATGCCAAGTATACAGAAAGTTTACGAGTACATTTTGACAATCCAGGACAATCAAACTCAGGAATACACTGCCACCCAAGATTAGGCCATTTCTCAAGTTCGCTAGATCCTCGAGAATTGGTAGATTTTAAACATTTTAAATACTCACGAATGTAAATACTGCTATAAGAGGTTATATTTTATTCGATTGAAACAAAGTGAACAAGCCGAATTATATGCAACATGCTGATGAAGGTTTTCGGCGGCCCTTGTTTTAAGCAGGCCACTTGATTTACAATATATAATAAAGGAGAATATTCCGCTTGTCTTTGGACTCATTAGCTGAATATGCATGGAAACTTAAGTTCATTAAAATAGGAAACAGAATAAAAGTGAATCTGGATAGAAGTAGCATTGTACCGTGAATTTCCAGAAGTTAGAATTCGTTCATGACACTTTGAGTGAAACTTCAAGACTCAGCATCACGTCATCACTTACTCGACATACAAATATATTTAGCTAACTAGTCACAAACAGGATTCTGGATTCTACCTGGTTGTCATCATGCACCAAATAACATCATCTTCACAATAAAACATCGTTGAAGCATCCATATTAGGAGCCAGTATGCGTCAACACAGACTGAATATTTCAATCCAGTATCAGTCCAAATCAATCGACCAGACACATAAAATTAACTTAGACAAACAAAAGACTCAACATTGAAAGAAAATAAAACTGAGGAGTTCTTTTTCCTCTTCACCTTCATGATAACAAACTAGAACACAGTTCGCTCCGTCCTCCTTTATGGCTGTGAGACCTGGCCATTGAGAGTGGAAGACATGAAAAGATTAGCTGTCTTTGATCGTGGGTGCCTGCGTTCTATCTCCCATGTGAATTGGTATAATAAAGTGAGCAATATTGAGATTAGGTATCGAGTGCAAGGTAAGGAGGGGAAATCAATCGACGAGGCCGTGAAATTACATCGACTGAGATGGTTAGGATATGTGTTACGTATGCCTAGTC